GGAATTTAATGAATTTTCCGATAGAAGGGTATTGTGGCAAGAATGTAGATACTGCCACTAATTTATAATACTAGCATTTTAAATTATCAGCATATACTCACAAATTCTTCTAAGTTCACATTTGTTATATAGTAGTTGTAATATTTGTACACTAGTGGTAGAAAGTAAATTAAAATTGCTTGTTATCTTAATCTCCAATCACACATATAAAAATCCATTACAGTGATACTGAATTTTGATGCATTTTTTAGCAAATGGATGGGGATCAATGGTAGCTCTCAACAAGAAGCAATTATTTTTCATATGTATTATTTTTTCTCTCGAGTGTAGATTTATCTTTCGAGGCTGCCCAATAGAGGGGTGTATGGCATTTGTCAAGGATTTTTTGGGATTCATCGTAGGCTACTAAAGGTGGGTGTAGTCGTAGACCTTGTCGATCACTAATTTATAGTACTAGCCATTTTATTTCTAATCCTATACTAATAAATAAGTGTAAGCATATCCTTATTGTATAGTGATTGTAATCATTGTACCCTAGTGGGATCAAAACACTATAAGCCTTGCTTGATTTTGATACATTATCCCTTTTCCTTTTTTTATAGATGGGCAGACCAATGGTAACTTTGAGCGCATAACAATTATTCTATTTTTGAATTATTATTTATATGCATTATCTTTTATCCCTCAAGCATATTTTATCGTTTGAGGTTGCCCAATAGAAGGATGTATGGGCATTCGTTAAAGATATTTAAGCATTCATCATAGGATGAGTCAAAGAACCCAATATTGCATTATATCCAAGGTTACAGTGGACCTCATTTAGTGTTTTTGATCTCACCATGATGCAGGTTAAGTGGGTTTATATTATAACGTGGAATCAATTGATTATTTGAGGATAACTCATGATATAGGTTAGCACTTCACTTGCATGCTGCCATTTCCAAAACATAGATGCATATTACCTTCAAGATAATAGGCCAAATAAAACCTATTTCTATTACAATCATCTTACACTAGTTTAGACAAGGCATCACTACAAATTCATCAAAGTGTATCCAACTATTATGTATTTACTATGTTCAATAATAGTGAGGCCTATCATCAAACGAGCAGATACTTTGAAGGAAAGGATATCAATGCCAATCCAGTCCTTCGATTTAATCATCAAGAGGGAAGTACCTCCACTAGCTTCTACCGATTGATGGAAACCTAGAAAAATGGCTCACATTAACGACCCTAAGTGGCCAAGTAATTTGACTTTCAATTAGGTTTGGTTTACCAAAATCAATAATTAATTGAATAACTAAGAACAAATGATAAAAATTTTAATATAAATCAAGTAAAACTCACCAAACAAAATCAATTTTTTTTCAATTTTCAACCAATTAATTAATAACTTTGCATGGAAATCCTCACCCAAATATCCTATCCCATCACAAATTCCCTTTACCCATCAAACCACCTAGCACACAGTTCCCAATCATATGTAAACTTGGTGATTATCCTCCCGCTACCTAACTTGCAGGAGCACACAATGCCTCCATACACAAAGCTCTTTAATATCTATCAAATCTCACATCTTAAGATTTAATGTAAAACATAGTGTTGCAACATTAAGATTGCAACTTAGGCATTGATGCATTGTCCAAATAGCTCGATCACATGTTAATGGTGGTTGCCCTATTTTCATCGAAGAAACCCATTACCATAGACTCCAATCATGAAAACATCCCAAAATTTAAATTGTCACTGTTCATTTGAGTTCCATTACAGTACCTCAAAAGTTATGCTAATCTCATAACCCCTTAAACACTAACAATATTATGCTTACCTCTTACACAAACGTCCTTTTGATCTCCCCTCCCTTTGAAATAAAAAAACAAAGATGTTTCTCATTTGCATCTCATATTTTCCCCTAGATCTTTTAGACTAAAACTTATCTTGTTTCATATGTTTATTTAGTTTGGGAAGACAGATGTCAGCTAGCAGGATTATCAAATCAGCTTTGAGAAAATAGGATTGATCATGCATAGTCTTGGGCTGACCCTTATTTCACAAAATGGGTACCAAACTAGGTCAATATGATGCCAAGTTTGCCAGTCTCAATTGCAGCCATAGGCTTGGCCGTATACAAGAAAGGATAAGCAGAGATCTTGGAGCAAGTTCTTCAAAACCCAAGAAGTGACTTTTGTCCCAGTTTTAAAAGTTTAGAATCCAATGTGCTCATTGTAAGCATGTTCATACTTCATTAAAATGATTACGCTCTTCAAAGGTATTTGCTAATACTTTATCATCATGTAACCTTCAATGATAGCCAGCAGGTTAGCTTCAACTTGGTCAGTACTCTTCCATTAGCACATTACTCTACCAAACCCTCCAACAGTTCTCTATGTTTTATCTGAAAGGCGTAAGCACGGACTTCTATTGAAATATAAGAGTTTAGGGTCTTTATAATGCCGTTAAGTATCAAATGAAAGTGCTCCATGATTGGCCAAAAAAAAAAGACAATGAAACATATTGTAAAAAGTTAAAAGTGAGAAAAAAACAAGGGTTGTAACAAAACCTGGGCCTGGATTGGTTCGGGCTGAGCTTCTGCTGAATCAAGTTGGAATTCCAAATAGGCATGGTCTAAGCCTCGCCTGTTTTCTTGGGTCCAAGCCCTCATTTCTCGACAATTCGTGTCGGGTAGACTTGACCCATTAAATTCAATATTTTAAGGCCATGTCGGGCTCTCTAGACTTCTTGATGCCCAAACTCAACCCAGAATGTGATCAAATCGAGTTGGGTTGGGTCAGGTCATATTTTTATAATTCAGATAAAAAATATAGACCCAAGACCAGTTTTTGCGGATCTGGTCAGGCAGGTCCCAAGGATGCCCAAATCCAGTAATAACTGATTGCGTATATTAATCATTTTAAATAAATAGAAAGGGAAGCAACAGAGAAAGGATAAGAAATTTTTTAGACAATGACCACCTCTCAGCCTATCATTATGCCACTCAGTCGTCCGTCAGTAAGAAACTATTAGCATTATGTTAGTGCTAACTTTCAACTCAAATATAACTTTTATCAAAACCACTTGCCAGTGATCAATTGATATAATCTAATTTTTCAAATTACTAGAATAAGTTATAAATCTGAACATACTTACAATCGAAACCAGCCAGACCACCTTATTTAAAATCTTAAAATAATTAAATAATAGGGAGATATATGCACGTGCCACCAGAATAACATCATATTTACAAAACTATCACCAATCAAAGAAAAAAATTAACTCACTCATGTGCCTATAGTATAACAATCAAACCATTGAAATTTTTAAGAAAATAAAAGATATAGGTTAGGATTTTGTTATGAATTTCAATGTTTGAGAGGTAATTTAACAAATAGAGAAATAAGGGTGTAGTTATATAAAAAAATATCTCCAAATGTTTTGAAATGAAGAACGACGTTAAACATTACATAGTTTATGTAATCTAGTGTAGAACTTGGGTTCACAAAAGCTGAAATACCAAATCCGCTAAAGAAACACGGCACTTCAAGAGAATACCTACAACATGCTGTCATGCTCCTTCAAACCTGATTTGTAATCTCCAAAACCAAAAACGAGTTAATTTTGATTCTTAGCAAAAGAGCCAATGACCCAAACTATCACCACAAACAACATTAAAAAAAATAAAAATAGAAAATAAAGAGATGTAAAGTACCAAAAAAGGGATACAATCTTCAGGTAACCTAATTCGTTCCAAAATCAGATTTGCATTAAATTTCTCTACATCCATAGGGCTTAAAACACTCAATTTTCAGCCATATAGGACTCCAAATTACCTCCATCCTAATCCCACTATTTTCGTTACTCCCATCCATATTTCTCTCTATCATCCATCTCTCCCTCCACAAGCCAATTTCATTTTCTCCGCCCTTTATTTGTATTATCATATTCAGTTTTTCCATCATTCCTAACCAAAGAATGATGGAGAGTGGAGACACTTTTGATCCACGGGTAGATCCCATAGAAATCAATCTTCATGAAATAACCACCAGCCATAACTACTATTAGATCTGCCACTACTGACCATCTGGGTTCTAAGACAATAAGCCATTTTTTAAATTGCATTCCACTTCTTATTATTAAAATTTAAGTGAGCTTTGGTTCCATTTTTTTAATTAATTTGGATTGTTTTAGAATTGAAATTACTAAAACTCCCAGAAGTTGCATTCTAATGGAGAAAAAGGTCTCTACAGCTTGGATAACTTTTCATTTCTTCATCTTTTCCCATCCAAGATCATTTCTATTGAGGTATTAGCTGTCATCCTTCGTATTCTCTTTGAATGAAGCAATCAAAAAAAGGATTCAACACTTTCCTTTTGTAAGGAGACAACAAAGAACAAAATTCATTTGATTTTCAGGTTTCTCTCAAAAAATAGCAAACCTTAATGACTTTCTAGGTGATTAAATAATCAGTAAATAAAACGAAGAAGATAAACCCAGGTAATCTTTCAAATTTTCCAATAGATTTAATGAAAAAAAAAGTGCATAAAGAGGAACACGAATAGTTGGGAATACGGTAAGGGCGAAAATCTTAGAATGTACTTTTATGCCCATGCACTTTTATGCAAAAAGAAAGGATTAACTCGCTAAAAGTTAAATTCATCATGCATCGGCAAAGGATTAAATACGATAGAAAAGACAGTCCATTTAGAATGTCCATTAGGCTTATGGCTGACACAAACACACAATGCATCAAGGAATACCATGATGAATTAAGCAAATCCTATGCATGCAACCTGCAACTTTGGAAAAACTATGCCACATAGTATTAAGCTAATTGAACAAGACTTCAATGTTCCAACACAAGCCGCAAATAAATAAAAAGAAAACAAGTAAAATAAAAATTGTAAAAACAAACTAATAATAATGAGTCAAAGACAACGCTCAGTAAAATAAGAACACCAAAGAAAAATAATAATATCTTCTGCCTCAGAAAAGCTGCAAACCTTCTTGGAACTCTGTTAGAATTTCCAAATCCAACTCCAGATATCCGATTGATAACAGCAGGTTTCTCCGTATTTGTTCCCACAATCTCTATTTTCATAGGCTTTCCATCAAGCTGCACATCATTGTATCTCTTAACTGCAGCAAGAGCATCAGCCTTTCTAGCAAAGACAACTTCAGCTGTCCCCTGAAAACAGAAGATAGCTTGAAATTTTAACATAACTACATAGTATGTCATGAGAAACAGAATGTACGAAGTATGATTAGTAACATACCTTTGATCTGCCGCTCCTATCATAGTGGATAGTGTAACGTTTTAGATCACCAAATTCAGAAAAAAGTTCCTGCAATACATTAATCAAATTTTAGGATAGTAGAAAATGCATAAATATCAATCCAGACAAACCAAAGTATCTTCATATCTGCTTTGAAGCAAAATAAATAAAAGTAAAACAATTGGTAAGGACCAATGCATATTCTACATATTAATTTTGCCATCCAAAGCAGAGCCATCAAAATGAAACTTAAATGAGATTATTTCATAGTTACAATTTTGATACATGGAACTAGAGATTCTGCTTCGGAAAGATTCTTAGATATAATGGCAATGCAAAAGAGAATGAACACGTTCTTTTCTACAGGTTGCTTATGGAAAATAACAGAACTGGATATTAAAAATTCATCTTCGCATGATGGCACTTGTTGAATTGCGTGATGGTTGGAATGATTGATATATAAAGAAATAGTATTAGAGAAAATAGTTTTCTGAGGTAATGCATATGACATAGAACAAAAAGTTGTATTTTTAATAGGTATCGTGTTCTAATGATTAAAGATGGCCTGTATAATAGTTATACCCCTTCAACAATTTCAAACCAGGCCAGACTATGGAGGGATGGAATGACTCCATGGCCCAGCAAGGCCAGTAAAACATGATAAAAAAGACCTTTTACAACTTTGGATCTAAATATGCTCAACAAATGTGAGGGCCGTAAAAACAAGGTTAATGTTGAGAAACAGTAAGGTAAGAGGCCAAATGAAAATATAAAGGAAAATTATTTAAGGAAAATATTAAAGGTTGCATTGGAGCTCCATATACTCAAGGTCTGCTTGGGTCAATTTTTCATAAAAATATTTTTTAGACCACTGCAGAAATTTCAAGCTGCTCTTTTAGAATCAAATCTGCTAGAATGCTGTAACTGTAAAAAAATTAGGGTAGGGGTCCAATATTTTAAAAAAATAATAATTTAAAATACTCATAGCAACTTTCACAAAAAATGTTTTCTAACAAAAGCTTTACAATTCACTTTTCAAAAAAAACTGCAGCCACCCAAACAGACCCTCAATCCACTCGCTCACTTATACACGCAATTGTTTCCCATAAAATACGCATTTATGTAGCTTTAAGAAATAGTTTTATGAAGAGGAAGGAAGGCCCTTCTATTTAGAAAGTTGAAAAAATGGAAATTAAAAGAAAAACTACCGCAACAGCACCAATTAAACACTTGAATCAACCTGCCAATAGCACAAATTTCCTCTTTCGCTCTTTGATATATTACAAGTTACAATCAGCGGGTGATACGTATTGTCACGCAATAACTAGCAAAATTGAAAGAAATACTAACCTTGATGTCCTCGTTTGAGACGCCATAATCAAGGTTGGAGATATAGATCTTGCTCCCGGTCTCAATTGAAGAAACCCTAGCCACGGGAGGTGGATATGCTGGCACCCGATTGGAGTACATATCGTGCTGCCATGCCGATTCTGGGGCCTGGATGCGACAAATCCCATGTAGGAGAAGAAGAAGAAATCATAAGGAGAAACCCTAGCTTGGAGTGGCTGCGCAAAGTACGAGGCGACTATCCGACCAAGTGCATGGAGATCGAGATCGGGATCGGTCTCGAGGGTGAATAGAACCCTAAGCATACCTTGCCGACGGAATAAGGGGCCGGCCGGTTGCCGGAGCGTTTCGTCTGCCGGCGTGTTGGACCGAGACCGCTCGATCCTCTCCCCTTCCCTTTAATGTTTCCGCTGCCAGATTTCTTGTTGTTCTTGATCAGATCGTCTAGCGACATGTCAAGCGCGTTCGACATCGTCGAGCAAAAATCCAGCCGAGGCGGGGATTCGAACCTAAAAGACCGAGTTTGGCGTCCTAAGAAAGCGGAACAGAAGAGATTGAAAGGAAGGTCGATATGACCCGGAGAACCGTAAAATGAGAGGGAGAGAGAACAATCAGAACACATAGTTTTATATAGTAAAAAAAATTTCATATCCCATGCGGCGTCATCACTTTGTGAAAATAAGTGCCGTTTTTGCTGATAGGTCGTTGATGGATTATTTACTTCATCAAATGTCTCTCTCTTTCAAGGGGATGACAGCAGTCAGATATTTTTGTTCTCAAAAAAATTTTCATGAAGAGTAGTTCTTACATGGTCAAGGTGTAAACTAGTCAAGTCTTGTATGAGCCTTAGCATGGCGACTTTGGCTGGCATATTTTTTAAGTGGTTCGAATTTGAGCTGAAATTGAACTCGAGCTCGAATTCAACTAGTATATCTGAATATGAGGCTCAAGCTTGATTAAACTCCTCAAGCTCAACTCAATTAGAAGAATTTTTTATGAAATATTAGTATAAATTGATTTAAAGTTCATAACATTTTGCAAAAAAAAACATCCCATCCAACTTTCAATTGTTTGATATTGAACTACAAAACAATATAAAATAACCATCATGAAGTTCACTTAACAAACATATTAATACAACTCCATGGTGTACTAAAATACAGAAAGCAAGTCATTAGAAAACTATAAAGTCCACCAAAAAACAACCATTATTTCAAGCCTCTATCATCTTTTCATTCAGTTTTTTGACTATTTGCAAATGGCCAAAAATAAAATTATTTTACTTGCATCAATTCGTTTAAATGTTACTTTGAATAGAAAGTTAGTGAATAAGATGCAATTTACCTTCAAAATAATTTTAATTAGATGGTAATGATATCTCAATCTCCCCATCATCCTCCTCTTCTTGAAAATGTATATATCACAATATGTTATTAATATAAAAATAACCTTAAAGCATAACAAATCAATACATTTATCCTACCCTTCAATTCATAGTGAGCACAAACTCAATTTGACCTGCATATCAGAGCTTGTATTGTTTTAACATCCAATTTAGAATGATAATTATCTATAAATCTCTCCCCTACTGAAAATGTTGATTATGAAGTAATTGTACTGATATAAATTGATAGGATCTCTACAATCAATCTTGATAATATGTGGTATTTAGTTTGGTTGATCTTCTACCATGCAATAATATCAATGTCCTCTCAACTGGACAAATCTCTAGACTATCTTTTAGATAATCATCTAAATATGGTTTTGCAAGTTTATTGCTTTTTCAGATACATAAGTAGTGAAATCATGCAATACACTGTATTTATTTGATCCACCTTCTTGACACATTCTTGAACTACTCATTTCCTATGTTGAAGCCACTCTTCCTAATCTAAATGTGTCACTTGCCCCTTTAATTTATTAGTCAAAGCATGTGACATATTCCTCATACAATTAATATAATAAAGCACGAACATATGAAAATATTTTGCTCACTCTCATCTCCATAAATCATGAGATATGTGAATTATATAATAAGAAATTTCATCGTTGGATCTATAATAGCACCAAATATCATTCGAAGGTTACATTCACCCCAATAATTATCAAATTTCTCTTTCAATTTTTAGTCATTTCTCTAACAAATTGATTAGGTGCAACTGAGCCATCATCTAGAACATTTTTGATAGTACATATTTGAGAAAAAAAATTTGGAGTAGGATATTCAGTACATACAATGATGTTTGTAGCTTCATTAAGAAAATCAAGAATATCGCAACCCTTCTCTATATTATGCAATTTCTCTTCTGTAGGACAATTATGATAAGTTTACTCACTCTCACTATACAAAGAGAATGTTTCTCTAAACTTATGAGCCACAGTCATCATGTTGTAGGTTGAATTACATCGTATTGGACAATTCATAACAAGTTTTCTAGTCGACAATTGCAACTGTTTAACAACATAAGTAAATCAAAGCAGTCTGCCTTCAAATGCAAATATAAAGCTAATTGTGTTGCATTTTTTTTCAACCACAAGCTCTACACTTTTAATCTCATTTTTAACTATCAATTACAAGATATATGCACAATAATAAACATGAAATATCCAACCTCCAAAAAATAATTTTTTTCACACATGAAAGTTGTCATTTAGTAATTTGATGGCTCGCTAATTGTTAGAAGCGTTGCCAACTGACACTGTGAACATTTTATTCTCTAAACCCCATTTATTAAGTAATTTGTAAAAAGTGTCGACAATTTCAGAAGTTGTATGAGGAGACAAGTGTAGGTAACTAAGCACACACTTCTGCAACTTCCAATTTGAGTCCATATAATACGTAGTAACAATCATATAAGAAATTCTTTGATTATTTGACTTCCATAAGTCCATGGTAAAACTGATTTTTTTTATACTTTTCAATGTATTTTGTAGTTTTTTTCTTCTCTTTCTCGTACACCAACATTATGTCAAAAAAAAGATGACATTGACTTTAGAACGAGATGGAATACAAATTCTTCCCCAACTGAAAAAGATTTCCCATTGATCACAATATAATGTGATATGCTTTCTCTTACTTTAGAATTATCATATGTTAATATTGTCAAACTAGCACTCTCATGGGAAGTGTCAGTTGTTGAATCAATGTCCTTAGCTTGAAAATTAAAACTTTTTTGGTTTCTTATGGATTAGATTTTAGCACCACAACATTCTAAGTGTCTTCTAAAATGTGTTGTTGATCTTGTATTTTCTATGAAAAGTTTATTCTAGCAGTGAAAGCACCATTTCTTTTGTCCATCAGGAAGAGTAACTTTCTTAGATTCATCCCAAATCATTTATGATTCTTTTTTTTTTTAATTTTTATGGTATTTTCATCTTCATTCTCATTACTTGTTTTAGCAGCATGCCCTTCTATGACCTTATTTTTCCCCAACACAATATCATTGTCATTCAAAATAACATTTGCCCTTACATTATACAACAACACTTCATCAACTGTCTCTAATTAAATTTAAAGAGTCACTAATATTATCTTCGACAATTGGTTCGGCATATATTCTTGAATATATAACAAAAATAATTAAAGTTTATCATAATTATTCTTTCATGAAAAAAAAAAAAAGATAAGACATCCATGCAAGTTATATTAACTCCTAAAGCATTGATTGAAAAGCTAAAATCCTTATCAACAAATTTCATTTAAAGGAAATAACTAAATAAACAAGTACACAACTTTATTTATGCATTGCAAAACCAAAGATAAATGCTTAATTAGGTTTTGAGAGCTTTAAGCTTGACGGATCAAAACTAATTTCAAGTTCTTATTCATATAATTATAAAATAAAATTTCAAGTAGTCAAGCTACATCACATGCATACTAATGTCCAATAGTTTTGGCACTCGAGCCGCTCAACAAGTAAATGAGTCGAGCATTAACTTTTATAAATAAATATATTTTATTAATTTAAACAAACTATATGAAGGCTATCTGCCCATATTTCCGCTAATGATCAACATTATTATCATATAATTTAATAAATCTAAAAAAATTTAGGATATTACATAATTTTATTTGTAATAAAATTAAATAACATTAAAATTAATAGCAAATAGCCCTTAATTTTATGAACTTTTATAATATTATATTTTTTATTCTGTATGTCCAACCCCGTCAGTTGAAACAAGTAGCATTTGCCATTTGATGAGACCTTGCTGCTTTATTTTACTGCCGTCTTTTTTAATATGTAATTAAATTTTTATTGACAATGTCATCCAGTTTAAATCAACTTTCTCCCTAATTGAAGCTTAGTTTTTTTTAAAAAAAAAATCTTAGTTTTAAAAATAAATTTGAAAAAAAATTAATGAAATTTGATACATCATCAAAAATTCATTTAATGATATACAAATCTTGATGCAACATTTGAGTTAAAAGCTTATGAAAGTTAATTCATGAATATGTGAATTCACATAAAAAATTTATAGTCATTGAATGTCTTAATGAGATAAACCAAAGAACGTCAAATACTCAAATGTATAAGAACTTGCACCTTGTGGGCCTACATGAATATTCATTCTAAAGACATGAGGTCTAGCTGCATAACGGGCTCAGTGGGAAGTCACCTCCCACTCACATAGTTGAGGACCCTCACGACGGCGAATTAATACGTCCGGTCACCTGACATTCGGTCGTTCAATCCAGACGCGCCACATCATCCAAATGCACTGGGGCCCGGTGTATTTTGGTGACGTGGCGCATCTGGATTGGTGTCCAGACGAATCCGGACACCGGACATAATAATCTGCCCCTCACGAGTCACCTTACAAGGCACTTGCCTCTCTTCCATGAAGAACGTGATTTCAATGATGCTTGTTATCCTTCACAGTAGGGTACCGTTGACCTTGCTCTCCACTGTAACTATAAAAAAGGCACTTATTCAAGGCGAATTAGTGCGTCCGGTCACCGGATGTCCGGACATCCAATCCGGTGATGACACGTCACCCAAATACATTGAGTCCCGATGTATTTTGGTGACATGGCGACACTGGATTGGTGTCCGGATGAATCCGGACACCGGACGCAATAATTTGCCCTTATTCAAAGACCCCACTTTGCCACGAAGCTCGTCAACCCCACAACCTAAGCTTACGTGCCTCTCTTAACAAAGTTTTGTAGATCTCTAGCGTATGTTGCCATGGATTTCAAGGCGTTGGCTTGCTTCAGCTCTCTACATGCAGGACTCGCCACACCACTTGCCTGTGCTCACTCACCTATATGATTTCAATATCATTGAGCTCGCCCAGAGACAAACAAACCAGGTTTGAGGAAGATATATCGCTTCCCCTCCAGCCAGCAAGAGTGTGAAAAGTGTCTAGGGCAATTAGTAAAGTCATTTTAGTCATGCATTTTTTTATTCATTTTATTGATGTAGCTCCATCATGTTGCCAGTAAATTCCTATAAATAACATATGGAGATGAGCATTATATATATATATATATATACGATAAGCATTTTCTATCTTTTAAATCCATTGGATCTTTGGGCCTTTTTTTACTCAATGTTTCTCTCTCTCTCTCTCTCCTGTTTCTAGGCAAAAACTTACAGAGCTCACTTGCTCTGTGAGTTTAGTGCCCAAATTAGACTTAGGATTCACGGCGGACTATAAATCAAAAGACCCAATCTTAGGAATACAGTCCCAACTTTTTAATAAATCGACAACTCAAATTAAAATTTCTCTTCAAACCAAAATTTAAAGCCAAATATATAAGATGGACTATGACATTTATGAATCGTTTCGGAATCCAAAAATGCCTCATACTTCTCATATGTTGGTTTCCAGAAATAAGTACTCAAATTTGATCCAATTATAGTTGAAATTCAAACATCACTCCTTTGATATCAATTCTTGAGAATTCTAAATAAAATTTATACTGTTATTTTAATTGAGAGTTTTCTTAGGAAACTCATGTTTCCTATGATGTAATTAACTAGTAGGACTTGCACTCATAGGAGATTTAAAGACTCCAGATCAATCTTCAAAATTTAATTAGTTCGCTTTAGGAAAATTAAAATCAACGACTATCATTATCGTCATATTCAAATGATTGATAGTGAATGATATTTTCTTTCAAAGAGAAGAAGCATTATTTATTATAATGACTTTGAATATAAAATTAAAGATGCTTCATTCGGATTACTATAGTCAAATACTTGATTGAATGTAATTTTGATCCTTAAGGATCATGTGCAATTCACACTTGAATTTAACTATTATAATCATGATGAAATTTACAGTTTTATTGTCTGAACCTGTTAGGAAATGATATTCTCGACTTGCGAGACGATACATCATTCATAATGATATGTTCAACTTCAAAACTGAAATTCCATAAATTAATTTTTTTTTCAAATAAATTTTATTCCAATTATTTTGCATCTGAAATTGTATTCCAATTACTGTGCATCTTTCCAAAGTAAAGCAAGTTTTTTTTTTTCAAATCAGTAGTTTACCATGCTCCAACCTCATATCCATATGATCTTAATTATGCACTAACAATCTAGATAATAAAAAATCATTTGAAATTTGCAATAGAGGTGACTCCCTAGAGGAAGGTCTAAGATCAACAATAATTTTCATCTTAAAAGATGATGAAGAGTATATTACACATCATAATAGAAATGATAGACTGTGACCAACTTTCCTCTGGGGGAATCTAATATGGGCAGCTTGAATGTTAAAAAATAATATGCATATGTGACCTCCTCAAAGAAGCCATTGTTTAACTATATCTAACACTTTCTAGGACTAAATGGGAAAGGAGCCACTATGATACTCACACATGAGGGTTAGGATTGCAAATGAACTAAGAGTTCTACAAGCTACTCGTGACTCGGCTTGAATTCCTATTAATAACATATGGAGATGAGCATTATATATATATATATATATACGATAAGCATTTTCTATCTTTTAAATCCATTGGATCTTTGGGCTTTTTTTTACTCAATGTTTCTCTCTCTCTCTCTCTCCTGTTTCTAGGCAAAAACTTACAGAGCTCACTTGCTCTGTGAGTTTAGTGCCCAAATTAAACTTAGGATTCACGGCGGACTATAAATCATAAGACCCAATCTCAGGAATACAGTCCCAACTTTTTAATAAATCGACAACTCAAATTAAAATTTCTCTTCAAACCAAAATTTAAAGTCAAATATATAAGATGGACTATGACATTTATGAATCGTTTCGGAATCCAAAAATGCCTCATACTTCTCCTATGTTGGTTTCCAGAAATAAGTGCTCAAATTTGATCCAATTCTAGTTGAAATTCAAACATCACTCCTTTATGATATCAATTCTTGATTGAGAATTCTAAATAAAATTTATACCGTTATTTTAATTGAGAGTTTTCTTAGGAAACTTATGTTTCCTATGATGTAATTAACTAGTAGAACTTGCACTCATATGAGATTTAAAAACTCCAGATCAATATTCAAAATTTAATTAGTTCTCTTTAAAAAAATTAAAATCAACGACTATCATTATCGCCATATTCAAATGATTGATAGTGAATGATATTTTCTTACAAAGAGAAGATTTATTATTTATTATAATGACTTTGAATATAAAATTAAAGATGCTTCATCCAGATTACTATAGTCAAATACTTGATTTAATGTCATTTTGATCCTTAAGGATCATGTGCAATTCACACTTGAATTTAACTATTATAATCACGATGAAATTTACAGTTTTATTGTCTGAACCTGTTAGGAAATGATATTCTCGACTTGCGAGACCATACATCATTCATAATGACATGTTCAACTTCAAAACTAAAATTCCATAAATTATTTTTTTTTCAAATAAATTTTATTCCAATTATTTTGCATCTGAAATTGTATTCCAATTACTTTACATCTTTCCAAAGTAAAGCAAGCTTTTTTCAAAACAGTAGTTTACCATGCTCCAACCTCATATCCATATGATCTTAATTATGCACTAACAATCTAGATAATAAAAAATCATTTGAAATTTGCAATAGAGGTGACTCCCTAGAGGAAGGTCTGAGATCAACAATAATTTTCATCTTAAAAGATGATGAAGAGTATATTACACATCATAATAGAAATGATAGACTGTGACCAACTTTCCCCTGGGGGAATCTAATATGGGCAGCTTGAATGTTAAAAAATAATATGCATATGTGACCTCCTCAAAGAAACCATTGTTTAACTATATCTAACACTTGCTAGGACTACATGGGAAAGGAGCCTCTATGATACTCACACACGAGCGGTAGGGTTGCAAATGAACTAAGAGTTCGACAAACTACTCGTGACTTGGCTTGATATATAAGAGCTCGTTTATGTTCGTTTGATAAGCTAAATGAACAAGCTTGAACTTTTTTTATAAATACTCGATAGCTAAATAAACGACATTGAACAGCTTGGCGTTTGGTTCATTTATGTTCACAAACATTATCATTTATTGCATGTGAACAAGCTCATTAAGAAGCTTGACTAGAGGTTTGAAAATAAATATTATTAAATTAATTTTAATAATTTTTTTTTAATTCCCAAGTCAGGTGAATCGAGAGCGTTCCCGCTCCATTGTCTGCTCCCGCTCTCCGATCCATTAGAAAAAAAAAAAACATGTTCATTTAGTTCCACATCGTGGAAGGAAACTTCGTATTGCTCTATATAAACAAAGATATCGAGAGTTTGTTTGAAAGCCGACTAATGGGTTGGATCAACTAAGCAGTATGGCATACGGACCTACAAATCAGGGCAGACCGGTCTTCAAGTAGATCGTTTGAATAAAGATAATATTTATTTTATTAATAGGCTCGTCTCATTAAAAGACTCGTTCAGTAATAGGCTCGACAAATCTAAATGAATCGAGCTCGAATACGAAAACAAGTTGAGCTCAAACAGAGTATCTTTAAACAAGTTCTAGCTCGAACATGTATAAAAAAACTCGAATCTTATCGAAACGAGCTTAAACACGGTGTTGGCAAACAAGCTTGAGTTCAAATTTGTTGAAGCATAGCTAAGCTCGGTTCATTTGCATCCCTAATGAAGGGAATGCTTACTAGAATCATTTAAAGATTTTATGAATCATCTAAGTTAAGTGATCTTCCATATTTAAAGTTGTGTAACAATTACATAGTAATTGGGTTGGTCACTCATTAAGTACCTCTTCATGTCATCAAGAAACTCAAAGACAAATTTTAGTATTTATGACCTGTAAATGGCCCTAGAGAAAATATGTTTCAGATTATGTTATAGTTAATCCTCACGAGAGAGTCTAGGAAAATTAAGAAGAGTAGAGTTTTGACCAAAGTACGACATTACATTATGTCCGCAACCAAATAGTGAAGGCACCTAAATAGTGGCCACTTGTTTGTGTAAGGATTGAGGTTAATTGCATAGGATTTGTTAAATGATAAAATTACAAAAAAGTATATGAGTTAACATGATAGATTTGTTGTTCTAGAGAGCTAGTAAGATACTAGATATTGGGTATGCCAAAAATTCAAGCGAGCTTTAGAAAGAGGGTGAGTACTCTTAAGAAGTTCTCTAGAGGAGAACTCCTAATTGACTAAGCGAATGCTCATAAAAAGTAGCCCAAATATTTAAGATATTAACTTAGCCAAGAAATGCCTTTGATGAGAGTTCAAAATCCAAATACTGAAGGTTGATTAAAATTTATCTCCTTGACAAATTGGTGAGTTTCGACTTTAGGTAACATGGGGCTTCCAAGGACTTTAACCTTTCAAAATTCTAAGTTATCGGTGGCTCGGGCCCGGCCTATTTGATATTGATCAATTAATCAACTAAGTTTTGATTCTTAATCAACTCAATCAAACAAACCCAAATAAATATGAAAGTGTATTAATGCGTACAATTCAATGAAATTAGTCAATACATAAATTAGGCCAAACATCATTAGATAACCGCCAAAGGAAGAGTCGAAGACATTAAATTATGTTATAATTAAATTATTAAAAATTAAATGTCTATATTTTATTCATCAAATATACCAATTTTCAATCCCAACCATCCAATATTTTTTTGTTTACGATAATTTCTGAAGTATTTATATCGATTCATGCCAACTTTGCTCTCCAATTGAAACTGAATTAGAAAACGGAAACAGGCCATGCCTTCGATCCCTGTCTCCAAATATCTCATTTTCTTTTTCCTTTTTTTTTTAGATGTCAATTTCTTCACAACAGCCCAATATTTGAACAGCTCAATTACATACAAAACACGAAAAAAAAAAAAATTATGTGACGGATTAATATTAATAGTAAGGGTACGTAAATTCCTCATCGTTCTCACCCAAATCCCACAATCCCAAAGCCCGGACGATGCAGGCCGACCCAGCAACCACCAAAGCGGCGAAAACTGGCGGGACGATGAGGTCGGCTTTGGATGGGGCGATTAGTCGGGCCGGCACACAGATCGCCGGCCCGGGCGGCCCGTCCACCGGGAGCCTAACGAACCCGCGCTGGCAGGATCGGGCAAACGGAGAAGACGGCGTTAGCGCCCACGCGAAGGCCATCTCCGGCGAGAACGAAGTCAGGAAAACCATAGCCGTTAAAAGCGCCGTCCAGGCGGCGGCGTAGCGGAGGAGCGGATGGCGGTGGTGGAGCTTTCTGAGCAGCGCGATTGCGACGGAGGAGATGGACATTTGATTGGGGTTAAGAGAAATAATTAGGGTTTCGGGGTAAGGAAGAGAGAGGGTAATAGGTTTGAGGAGGGCAGTAGGTGTACTTAAGAGAAAGGGGGAGAGGGTTAGCGGTTGAGTAGGTGACCGGAGCGAGCAGGGGGAGATGGGAATTGGGAACTTGTAAACGACTCATCGAGTTCCGTGCGAGATTTCTAAATGAGTCTGACCTGCCACGTAGCCAATGGAGACATTTAAATTTTAGGAATGCTGTGCTTTAAAAGAAAAACACTTTTATAAAAATTCATGCTATATTTATCAATTGATTAGTTGTATCTACAAAAGTTCTTCTCGCGTAAAACATATACGGCGCGTCTTATTCAAATTTTTGTCTTTTTATTTCTCTGTCTCTATATATATGGATAAATAAATTCTTATTTTTTATTTGGATAAATATATATAATTTGATTTCAAGTTAATGTGGGGTCAGCTTAAATTTTGTTGGGACATTTAGCAGCAAGGCAAATTCTCACATATATGATATTGTTTAAAGTTATTTACTAATCCATATAAATTATCAAAATCTTTTTCTGGACACATAAAAAACATCAATGATTTGTTTTCCCCTTTACTCCCCTCTCACGACCTCGAGCATATCTTTTGTTTTCCCTTAAGCTCATCTCTCGTCCACAAACGAAGACCGCCCGTAATAGAAGTTTATTCTAATCTTCCAAATGAGACGTCAAACTCTCACATATAAGATATTGTGTAAAGTTATTTACTAATCCATAGAAATCATCAAAATCTTTTTTCGGACGTATAAAAAACATCAATGGTTTGTTTTCCCCTTTGCTACTCTCTCGCGACTCACGACCTCGAGCGTGGCTTTTATTTTCCCTTACGCTCCTCTCTCGCCCACAAACGAAAACTGCAAGTGACAAAAGTTTATTCTAACCTTTCAAATGAAATGACAAACATAAATGTAGATCTATCATGTTTTAACTTTGAGTTTATATGCATTGCATTGCTTGATCAAATATGGCTTGAAATCAAAATTAGGTGGTTCATTTTGATTGTGCCGCTAAAAATAATTGCACAAAAACTCAAATAAAATAAAAAAGCCAAGTTTCAAACTTGGGTCACCACATGAATGCTAATATGCCACTTAAGCAATCCAAAATTTCATTTTTAATTTCTACTAAATTGTTTGATATATAACAGTTTATTTTTGTATGAATAAAAGTATATTTTTATTCGATTTAGAACATGTCCAATCAAATCCACTTATGACTTGAAATTAAATAAAAAATAAGTCTGAGTCCAAAATTTGACTTATAACTCAAGACACTTGCTTCAAATTGATCTCAATCTAAGCCAAAATTCAAATCAAATTTCGATCAATATGCATACTTCCAAAAATATTTTCAATTATTTAGTAGATAATTGATGAGTCGTGATAAAAGAGCTCTTACCTTATGGGCCAACATAAGAGCTCATCCCAAAGTCATGAGGTTAGCTCAATAAATGACATGATAAGGAATCGCCTCCCATATAAACAACCAAGGATCCTCATAGATCGTCCAACCTGCCATTCACCCTCCATCTACCTTGATGTGGTATCTTTTATCTCACTTGTCACTTCAATTACAAGGAAAATGCTAACCCAAAATACTCAAAGCTTGCCTTGCCTTACCATCATTAGTCAAATATGGAGCTCATTTACTACAATTCAAGCTCTCTCTCTCTCTCTCTCTCTCTCTCTCTCTCTCTCTCTCTCTCTCTCTCTCTCCATTTTCAGATAGATTTTTCAGGTTATACTCGCAGAGCTTGTCTACTAATAAGTTTGAGTATCATCCACAAACAAATTTGAATCCAACAAGATAAAAAATATTTGAGCTAAACTCCCAAACTATGTTCCAATATATATTTTTCCCCTAATGAAGGATAACCCCTTAGGTTTGGAAAGTAATTTATTGGAATAATAAGTCCTTCAACTATGGTTCAAATAATCCATATTCAAATTGGTTCGAGCTTATTAGAGTAAGGTTCAATTCAAATTGGTTTGAGCTTATTAGAGTAAGGTTCAATTCAAATTGGTTCGAGCTTATTATAGTAAGAAGGTTCAAACTAACTCGAACTAGAATTTCACAAGAGAGGGTGATGTGCAGCGTAGAGGGAACCAACGATCAAAGATGTGTATTCATTAATGTGAGTTGTGTATATATACACATTTTCCAAAGCAAAATTGCTCGTGACAATGCGATCAATATCTTCACTCAAACCCAAACTTAAGGCTGGTGATTTACAATTTATTATTATAAATGATGGCCAAAATGTCCTAGATAAATTAGAAGCTTATTTTTTTTCCTTCCATTGAAACCTTTTTTATGTTATATGTCATCTTGCACGATGAAAATCACAATATTGAAATTGGTCTCCACCATTTGAATTACTAAAAGGTTTTTACTACTTGAGATGTTCTTAATTTTTTTTTCTTAAAGTGAATGTTTTTAAGGCAAATCTGCACGCACACGCATATGTGTGAGCGTGGCAAAGCACGGACATGGGTACACGCCACTACGGCTACAACGCCCGCTGATTGGTCGATCAACACGAATCTTTTTAGGATTGATTTTGGATATGAATATTTATATTCTATCATTTTAACATTTGGAATTCAATTTTAATAATTTTTAAGCTTAATGAAGTATCTATAATCAAACAAAATTGGAGTACTTGATAAAATTTTTCATTAATTTTTGCTCTAGTGGATGCGCCAATTTTAACAAAAGTTGAAAATGTAATTTTGAAGAATTTATTTAGTTCAGGGCCTCAAGGAGAGGTCCACGCTGACATTCAAGGAGTGGCCATGTATTATAATTTTTTTTTGAAATTATTATATTATGCTAACAAATTTTTCAAAGATTAAATATATATATATTCGGGCGGTATAAAGTTTGATGCCCAAAAAAAGGGGGGTAAATGATATACCTTAAGAAAATTTATTTTGATCAGCACAAATCTTGATGCAATGTTTGAAAACTTCCAGAATTAAATTTTGAATCATTTTATGATTAATTTTAACAAGTTTATAGTCAAATCAAGCACCTTGATGAATCAAATCTGACAACACCAAACGTGATCCAATTTAAGTTGAAATAAGCTCAAATTAAGTACTTGAAAGATAATTAAAACTTTGAGACACTAATTGAAGAACCAAATGGTCTCTGATTATTGTACACTTATTGTTAAAGCAAACAGCTTTATGAGATGAATCAAGCAAGCATAATATAATTTAATTCTAAGGTCCTTGAAGTACTTAAATGCTAAATAAATAATTATGATCAAAAGATTCGATATGTGCCATCAAATGTGAGTTATGAAATTTTGGTTAAATGTATCAAAATGTCTATGCTAAAAATACTATAAATGGAATTTATTCTTCGGATGAAGGGGTTCTAGACTTGAATTTGAAGAAAGTTTGGAGATCCGAGGAACTCTACAATTCTAGTTGATATTCGATTCTGAGCCACCATCGGTCCACCATTATCTGGCTGCCATCATTCAACTGTTGGCTCTTAAATGCCATTATTTATTTTTTTTATCGCATGACTGTCATTGTCTCACAAATGTCACTTGACTGTATTGTCCAATTGTTGTTGCTTAAGTGTTATTATTTGATTGCATCACTCAACTACAACCATCGTGTCGACACCTCTAGACCATCATCGCCAAAAGTAATAACCACATTCTAGTTGAATAAGATTTATCTAAATTAAATTTAATAAAATCTAATTTAAATAAAACATATAATCAAATAATGAATGAGTGTCATTGTTATACGCCAATAACTGCTTGTACGCATTCACATGTGTATTGCAGGTTACATTCGGGTTGGGCCAAAGGAGGATCCACTCTTCGCTTGAAGCAATTCGTTTAAGGGACTCACTTAGTAGCTAGGAAGGAGCATAAGTCTAAAGCACGGTGGACTAGCACCGACCCAGCTCTTCCAAGCAATCGTCCCCACCCCGACAAGGGCGACCTCAAAAGTTCATCTCTAAGTCAAACAAATATTTATTCATCTCAACTAGAATCAAGACTCTCATGCAAGATACAACCAACAACTAATGACACATATCGCCTCTACATACATCTCGCCCCTTACCACCTCAATGGGGCAACCCCATATCGGATTTTTACTCTACGCTAACCCATTCTCCTGACCACACTCCAACAATACTCACCCTTACTCATCTCAACAAGATGAGTTTAGACCAACTTCCAGTTGACGTCAATGGGTTTCCATAAGCTCACTTGACTTCCCCTTCTCAATCATTATTCCACTCGGCACTGATGGTCAAACTACAATAAAGACTGATAGGACAACCACCATACCCAGGACATACTCTATGTATCTTTATGAACCATATAAAAGGGGTAGAAGCAGACAATAAGACTGAGAGAGAGAATGAGATAGGGGAGCTATCACACAAGACAATACTTATCCAAACCCAAGATAAAACCTATAAGATAACATAGATATTTTTATCATTTCCCCTTTCTTAGCTTACGCTCTACAGTTTAGAGCTCTCATTTTCATTACTCTTGTATTTATCGCTTAAATGATAAAAATTTTGTGTAAATCCACATTGTCTCTCATCTTCTCTTTTTTTCCTCATATTCAGACTTCATTACACTCTCCCCACAAACTCTCAGTCCACATATAACATAAAGTACGGTCCGACATTATCCACTAGGCAAAATATGATTCAGCAATAATTATCATTTATTCTTTTTTCATATTTTTTCGGTTTATTTTTCTTATTGCACGCAACAAATTGCTCCATATGATATTTGTCGAATATCTAATATTTGCAGATTTATTTTCCAGTCAATAATTTCAAGAAATAAATTGATTATCACATATACAAACAATAAGGTGGGCAAGAAATCACATAAACTCAATAGTCCCATAAAATCTACTGATTAATCAATTTACTTTTATTTTAATTTTGATTTATTAAATCTCATAAAACGAGACACTTGAGTTTTCTTAAAATTTGGGTTTGGTAAACTGAATGAAAGTCAGATCATACGAATCGTTTGGTCAGTTCAGCTTCATTTTCTTGCTATCAGCCTATCATTTCTGGTTGGATTTCTAACTGACGGTCGGTTAAGTTTAGTTCAATTAACAATCAAAGCTTATTAGAAAACAAATAAATTAGCAACTAATCCTAACTATGTGACGACTGTTTATTATACTATTTTAATTG